TAAGAACCTGTCAGTCATGAATGCATTACATCAACACTTTAAAATCATTATCATTAAAATAATGTTTAAAGGAGATGCTTGAAATAGCATTACAACACCCTATTTGGCATCTGTAGATTCCATTGCAACAGTTTTAATGCTTGCATCAGAATGTGAAGTTTCCTCTGATTGCATTTGTTACCAAAGGCTGTGACTATGTTGGTTCATATTCAGGCAGGGCAAAGTGCACTTGTGTTATATGGTGAAAGTCAGTTCATGATGTTAGGAATCTGGGTGTTTAAAAAGGCATGTTAAATAGATATTCTAGATTAGATTTCATAAAGGCTTGGTTTTATTACGCATTCAAAACATTTACAATTGTATATTTTTTAAAATATTAAGTCTACGTTAAACTTTTTTTATCATTTTATACTGTTTTAAAAATATCAATTCCATATCATGTATACTGTAGGCTGATCATTTCCAAAGTGTAATATGTATAGTTGAATAGTTTTGATTAGAAGTAGTGATTCAGTTTCGTTTCATTGCACTGATTGGGAAACAAATGTGAACAAAGAGTGTTTAATTCTCGGTGATGATGATACAGTGTTTCATGTTTATTATGGGCTCTATATGTTCTCAGGTGGAAGAGGTGGAAGTTGTCCGAGAGTCATTTCTGAGAGTTCACTATCACATGTCTGACATCAGTCCACATCAGCAATGATTAAGCAACGAGCAGCAACTTGGACATGATTGCCCCATATGTTTTTTTACTTTAAGGGATGTGTGCAAACAAAATGACACGAATAAAAAAGGCCAAAAGCGACTGTTTTTATTGTGGTTCATAGAAAGGGTGGAGTACAAAGCAATGATGGCATGCAATGAAAGATTGCAAAGCTTTTTATTAACTTAGATGAATTCAATAATAAGATTGATAGTAATAATAAGTACACAGCTAAGAGTTCTCTAGCAGCTTTGTTCTTTCCATGGAATTCCAGGAGGCTTTTAAGATTACCATCTTCTGATGCAATTCCCACTTTTAATTAGTTCCAAAACAATAATAATACGTTTCCCTTGTATGAAATCCACCCACCTTCAAAAATAAAAATTTAAATCAGCAGAAAATGCTGAATCATTGCTCTCTGGCAGGATGAACTCGATCAACCTCATGGTTACAATTGGCATGTCTCTCAGGTTATACATGTGCAGACTTGCCCTACCACAAATTACTCAAAACAACCATAAATGGTGCTGCTTTTTGAGCACGACAAGTACACTTTAAAAAGTAGGCTAACAATGTTAAGGTGTTGCCTCATCTGATGTAATCAGGTTGATTCAGTTGTATTAAATCACATCTGACTTAAATAAAACCAGCACAGAATGACTCAATTATAGATGGTATAGTTTTTTTTTATTAATAAAGTATCAAAAACAAACAAGAGACAGTCAAAATGAAGCCATACATATTTCATATAAATATGTAATTGAATTTTACAGGCCATTATCTTCTCAATCATGACTTTTGGTAGCAATTGCACTTGAATACTTTGACATGGACACCAATGACGTGATAAATTCGGATTTAACCACAAACAGAACGCATGTTTTCATTACACATTTAATGTCAGTAGTACCACATTTTGTGATATGCCTGTTTAAACAAATACAAAAAAAAGAGGAAAAAAGCTTCCTGACGCCTGCGTCACTTAACCTTTCAGTACATGACAGAACATACATTTAAACAATGCAACTATGCATAAATTTAAACATGAGGGAGAAGTTTGTGAAAAGATTAGGTGTTTTCCTCGGTTTCATATAAATGGAGCGATTTTTATACTTTAGTACACCTTTCTGTAATATTAGGAAATGCAGTCACAGGCCTGATCAGATGTCTTGCAGTATGTGTTTCTTCACTAACAACAATACGTGACACTAAAATTGCTTGACACATGATCTAGGAACATAACCAGACAGAGATTTACTTCAAGTTTTTTTCTTTAGGATAAGCCCAGCTAACTAAAATATGTTCCAAGTAGGTTTTGCTAACATTCCCATTAAGTTATTTCTGAATCTTCTGTGAAAGTTTAAAACGTCCTGTTTTTTATTTGATTTATTATTATTATTTTCCTGGGTTATGCGAATGTTAGAGAAACCATTAAGGGGACGCTCCATTTAAACCGTTTGCAAACATTATGGGAACATTACCTTTGAATGTTCTCTGAATGTTATGAAACCAACTAAAACGTTTCAGAAAAAGATATTCCAAGATGGGTTTGAGAACATTATTAAAGACCACATAACTTTGAATGAACATTCTATTAATGTTACTGGAGGTTCGCTCTTAATTTTGACAGAACCTTGTCAGAACGTTAGCCAGTTGGGAGTGTAGAGGTTTGTGCATCTAGACAATAACAACACACAGCTACAGTATATGAAAAATGCAATATCAGAAAATAAGTATGTCCTTGCTAATAGCACAAAACACTCCTTTTTTTTTTTACAGTAGGCTGACAAATGCAGATCTTCCTGCTCACAGCATTGTAACAACAACATAGTCAGACGTTTGAGGTCATAGCGAGAAGGCTTTCAGTGATGAAGGGTAGAAACTTCCTTGTAAGTAGTGTGCGGGACACCTCATTGTCTCAAAGTCCACTTCGTGTCGACTTCCCTGTTATTTGATCTGTCTATTTAATGAGTTTCCTGCAATATATATATAGGCCAAGTCCTGAGCGATTAGTAGCAGCTTGAAATACTTCATGTGGCAGGTTATGTGGACACCTAACAAGGCAGAGGCCACAGATAAATATGTAACTAAACTGAACAACTTCGTCACCCTGTATGTCTTGCCAATAAATGAAAAAGATACACGCAAATGACTACATTTGTTTTTCTCTCACTAGAATAGTACTTGCTGTCAAACACACCGCCAGGGTTTCATTTAACCAACAAGCTGATAAATAAATGAAATCATGTTGTTCTAGCATCAACATGACATCAGGCTTTGGTGCATATAAAAAGCATATCATGTTAAACATACATACAATTACGAACACATTTAAATAAGTCCTTCGACACTTTAGTGCTTTAACAGTCTCTTTCAGTGTACATCAGATCGACCTTAACTGGCAGCATGGCAGGCGCCCGTGTTTAGTCCTTTATAACGTGGGTGAACCTTCCAGCGTTCCTTGGCAAGGACTGCCAAACCATTAGCTTCTTGCCTATACAGCTTGTGATTTAGAGATGCCCACAGCTAGTTGGTATTGAGGTGTGTGTTGGTCCACTTGTGGTAAGATTCAGACCCTGCAGGGTGGTCTCTTTGATTTGCTGGATGAAGAGCTTCCTCTCGTCTTCAGGAGTCTGGCCGTTCTGAGCACGGACAATACAGGTGGGCCTATGCAGGTTGAGCATATAAACTAGCTGCTGCTTTTGGTTCTTCAACTCCTCAATCTGGGCTTTCAACTCAGCATTGACGGACTCCAACTTCTCTGACTCCTGAATTAAAATAAAAGCCATTTATAGAACATATATGAGTGAACAATTCAAGAAGTAATATTTTAGAAATATGAAAAAATATTGTAAATAAAATCATATTTAAAAAAATAAAATCATAATAATATTAAATATATATTCTAAATATAAATAACAAAAATAATAATAATACAAAAATAATAATATAAAAGTATAAAAATAAAATGTTTTAAATTCAACTTAAATATAATAAAGAGAAAATAACATAAAGAATACCTTTTGTAAATGGTCTGTTGTCTCCCTTTTCTTGTTTCTGCATTTCGCTGCTGCAATTTTGTTTCTTTCTCTCCTTCTTTTTCTCCTTTCATTCTCCACTGGATTGGTCTGAAATGACAATATTTATCACATACGTTCAAATATACCTAGTGTAATACATATTGATTTTATGAAAGCGAAACGGCCTAATGATTCTGAATTAGCTCCACAAGTGGATGAACAAGTGTATTGTGCAAGCATGGCTTTTCTACATGCGTGTTACTCAATATAACTAATGTGAAATACAAGAAATCACATTTGATTCAATGTTCTAACTGTAAACGAGTCGTTCTTACCTCACGCTTCATCACAGGTAGTTCAGTGGGGCGTTCTGTGTTCATACACGCTCGGTCAGTGGTCAGGGTGCTCATGCCGTTGGACAGGCGTTTGTTCTGAATGGCGTAGCGCAGCTCCTCTTTCACTAATGGAGTGAAGTTGGTGAAGTCGTCCAGCGTGAGTGAGCCGGGCGGGGAGAGGCAGGGGACCAAAGCAGTCGCACTGATCTCCGAGGGACCGAAACCAGGATGCTGAAGCATCATTCCGAAATCTAAAACATTTGAAGCAAGATTTAAATCATGGTCTTAATAAGGAAACTTTCTGTAGTCAGATACAAACTCTACCACCTTCTCAAAAAAAGATTAGACTACTGACTTAACTGTAAAAAGTTAGTAATGTAATAAGAATGTGAAAATGCTACAGTAAAAAACTGTTTTAAATCTGAAAAATTATATTATGTCAATACATGTATTTTAACAGTAAATGTAAATATGTATTTCAGAAATAAAAAGTATGAATGTATAATTGCATTAAATATATGCATATATTTATGATTTATTATAAACAGTTTTTATTTTTATTAATCATTTATGGAGAAAATATTATATTTAACAAGGCAATAAATATACTGCTTAAATATGTTCAAATTACAGAAAGTAAACCCCCTTATGATTTAGTGAGTAAGGGATATTCCCAATCTTATTTTGTTTAGTTAATTCTTATAGTATCATTTTAATGTTGTATATTGTAATCCTTATGGTGTTTTATGTTTATAAAACTATATGTTTACATTATTATTTATAAACAGTTGCTAGAAAGTTAATGTTTTATAAGATTAAAGTTTAAAGTCATTTAGCCTTCAATTGTAGGCTACCACATGTGTTATTCTCAGTACATTTTACAGTGATTTTACATTGCAGACTTTAATAGCTCAAATAAGTTAGTATATTAAAATAATACAATGTAATGGCAAGTACAATGTGCTATTCCGTAATGTTTTTAACATCACAATATGTTATTTTAGGGTATTTTTTTAGGTTCTGACAACAGTTGTATAAGTTACATATAACTGATATAGGCTAGAATATATCAGACACATATTTATTGAAATATTCAATTACTATACTCGTATTATCTTTAAAATATATGTTCTAATTATATGCACCGCAGGTCTACAATCATAATCAGTATAGCCGGTAAAATCATCATCTTTAACTGTTTAATAAACTCTAATCCGGTTACACTGAAATCTCTATGTGATCGTTAAAATAAGCTGTTATTGCTGTAAATATTTTTACAGTCGGCTATAACGATTCGCCAACAGAACTAGCTACATAAAATAATCAGTTATTCAAATATTTCAACATGAGTTACCGCAGCCCAGTTCCGCACGTTTTGCAACTATTCTAGAGGACTACGATTATTATGAGATAACAATTAAATACAATAAAACATAAACATAAACAACATAAAAGATTACACTATGCCTATAAAATGAACTATAATAAGTAGCCTACAATCGTTTGTCCCCAAAACACAGTTGTATTGAAATCAGTCACTGGCTGAGTTTATTTATCAGAACATAGCGTAGACATTTTCCACAGTGTGTTCTAGAACAGTTACAACAAAACCCATAAATAACACGTGAAACAATGTTGTCGCTCACCTTATTTTGACTGAATAAAACGCGTGTGTTGTGATGCTCTCCTCCGACTGGAGTGTTCTCGCGTTCAGCTGCTAAAGTTACAGTTGTCGCCGGCTCGTTGCATCACTCCTTTTTATAATGGCTGGAGGACGTGAACTACTACTGGGGGCGGGGCGAGTGACCTCACCCTATTTATAGTATCAGGAAAGCTGTGTCTGAGATGATGCAACCAGGCAACCCTCCGTTGCGCACCATAACTGGGCAAGCTCAGTCCCCCGCCCTCCCCGTACAATGGAGGAATCGAAGGCTGACATGTTAACCTAATGAGCAAATAAAGACATACCCGTGTAATGACATGGGATCTCTGGAATGCTCTAGTGTAATGTACTGAATAGTTATGAAAAAAAAAAAAGATATGGGAGAGGAGAGATTGACTGGCTAGTTGGTCAGAATGAGACCAGAAAATCACTTGCACTCTGTTAAACACACTCATATTTTGTCTGTTGGAGAACTGTATGAAGATGGAGAGATGATCCCAAGGTCAGTGTGTTGCGGTCTTTTATTCAGTCTGTTTAGTCTTTTAAAGTCCATGCCCATGAGTGAGCAAGTGTAATCAAAATGTGATCAGTTGGTTTTGCACGTCCACTAAAAATGTTTTCACCATTTAACAGCTTAATGAGGTTTTGAAATTTTACAGTGTGCTCAACTTTGAAAATATAATTGAAGGTTGTAAATATTATTATAGTATATATTGCTGCATGCAAGTTTATTCATGATTTTATTCTATTCTATTTGTATTATTCTGAACCTTTTGTGATGTCAGTTTATCGGTGGGGTAAAATCTGTGGTAGATGAATATGAGTAGACAACATCAACAAATCATTTGTCATATAAATCTATTAAATAATCAGATAAAGAAAAAAGGTGGTAAAGCAAATGTTAGAGCTCATAGTTTTTGGCTGTTTACTTTGATTTGTGGTGGATGGATGTTCAGTGGAATGATTTTTCAGCTCTCTTGCTCTAGTTGGGTCATTATCCACCCCGGTACATGCTCTTACCTCTGTGTTCTGGAAATTTCCAGTGATCTCGCTTCACCAGTCCTGGTGCAATCACTACTAAAACACTCCCTTATTATACATACAATTGTGCTTGTACACAAAATATTGTTACTAAGGAGCCATGTCTAAACTTGACACAAAGGTAATATTTATTTTTCCCAAGAGAAATGATGACTGTCAGGCTTAAAAACTAAGTTCTTAGAATGAATGAATCTGGGTAATGATTAAGTTCCATTTGACTCATAGCTATAACTATTTTAAAGTGAGTTTGCTGTTGTTGTTGTTTTGATATCGACTGATATATGGAAATAACAGCTAGTGTATGTTTTTACATAAGATAATTATATTTGGGGGTTTTTAATAGCATTTCACGTGGTTTCTGATTTTTCCCATTGTGGTTTATTTTTACTTATTTGCTTTTTGCAAAAATGTAAAGACATACATTTTTAAAATTGTATTATAAAGTGTATTTTTTGCTTTTCTTGTTTTGACATCTGCCGATAGATGAAGATTTATGAAAATGAAGAGACAGTGGCCCCAAAAAGGCTTCCAAACCAAGTAGCTT